TGTTTTATTGTTTAAATTTTAATTTATATGAGAATGACGCATAAAAATAATAAACCTATATCTACATATATGTAAAATATATCATTGTTACTGTTTATCTACAACTGGATGAATGGTAATGATTTTTTTTAAAAATATTTTGTATTTTAAAATATCATGTGAGCCTTATAGTAAAAATAAATAAATAAATAAATGTGAGGCCTGTGGTAAAAAAAAATTATAAGATTCATAGTAAAAACGATAAGTATAAGATATATTATTTGTTATTTGTATTTTGCAAAGGTATAAAATAATAAATTGTACAATAAAATATAAAGTTAGAAAACAAATTATATGATAGAATGTTTTGTTGTTTAAATTTTAATTTATATGAGAATAACATATGGAAGTAATTAATTATTTTTTATGTTTTTAATATACACGGATAAAAAATTTTATATATAATTGTTTAGCATTTAATATCTGAACTTGATATCTGTAAATTTCTATGAAGTTTGCCCTTTTAAGGAATAAAGATAAAATTTTATATTTTATAAAAAAATAAAATTAAAAAAATCACTAAAATTTATAGATATTAAGTTTAGGTAATTTAAATTCAATTTTTGAATATACAAGGGATGTTATGTATATTTTCGATACGTACATGGGAAGAAAAATAAAACATAACCAGTTTTTTAAAATTTTAATTTATATACAATAATACATAAATTTCAAAATTTAACTTATAAAATATAATTTTATTTTAAAATAACATAATGTAAAGTAGAATATATTGTTATTTAAATTTTAATTCATGTGGTAATAACACATCATAGAATACATAACAAATTGTTTATTATAATTTTAAACTACACGAGAGGAACAGATTAGAAAACAGCATACGTTAAAATAAAATAATTTATTGTCGATATTGTTAATATGCATGAGGTTAACAAAATTATTATTAATATATACAAGTATATCACAACTTGAAAATTTACTCAAAACATTACAGTCATATAGTTCAAATTTAATACTATTATATTGACGAATTTTTTTACATTGCATACACTTCTCTTTTGTTGTTTTCATCGTTGTAGGCATATGTATGATTAATAAATGGTACTATAATATTGGTTATTCTACTTGCTTAATTTAAAATCATTATTCATATTTATTTTTACTTTTGGCTATAATTATGATTTATAAATACTATTATGACATAAATTATAGTGCATGATTCACGTTTTATTTTTCTCATGAGCATGGGCTAACAAATTCTTAAAGAAAATAAGATAATGTTATTTTGCATAATATGCTAAATTTAAAAAATATTTATAATTTTTAGTATGCATAAGGGCTATACATTATAAAATAGGAATTGTTACTTAAAAATTTAGAGAGCGAGTAGGGATAAATCTAATAATATTTGATCGATAATAAATTTTTTTCTTCAACTAATTACCGTATAAGACTTAGTAGAAAAGTTATTCTTCAACACAATTTGAGAGTTTCTCCTCTCATCACATCAATTAAGGGAAGAGCATAAATGTAGGTGTTGCCTTCTTAAATCTATTATGGGAGCAATATGTTTTAAAATAAAAATAAATTATTATGTCTTTGATGTATTTAGGTAAAAAAAAATTTAAAATAGAATAAATTTTTATTTAAATTTAAATTTACATAAAGTAACATATTACAAGTACACAAAAATAAATTATTTTAAAATTTTCATTTATTTACTTTACGCTTACCCTTCAAATAATAAAAAATCCTTACAAATTCTCAAAAATATCTTAAGCAAAATTTTTACAGTACCTATGCACAGCTAAAAATAAATTCCTGTGCATTGCGTGGATTAAAATATAGTTCTATTTGTATTTGTCTAGGTGCGTTTCTAACATTTGTTGTAGTGATATATTTGATTACAAAATCTTATAAAAAAATATGACTTTGAAGCAATGTCTTCCAAGTTACACCTAATATCTAACGCGTCGTATTTTCAAAACTTAAATTTAAGATTTCTGGTTAAAAACAAGTCATTCTCTTAGCTTGCCGATTTGACTGAGTCCGCGAGTTTGGATGTTTTTAAATCAGTTAAAATACGGTTTGATGGTTTTAGAGACCTACCCACGTAGAGAGGGTTATCAAATATATATTAGAAATTGAACGCCATGGAACGCTATGTTATTTGAGAGAGTAACAGGAAATTTTTTTTTTGAAAAATGATAATTTAGTCGCAAAGAATGACAGCAAAATTTTAAAGAACTTTTTTGAAATTAAATTTTTGTATTAGATTACTTTAGTATTCATCTATAACTATTTTTATATAGTTATAAATTTGATATAAGTATTAACAAGTTTGATTCCACTAATGATTAAAAAATTTAAAAAATCTCAACTTTTTATTAATAATTTTCTTCATTTAACAAAATCTAACTAATTTCATATAGTTCATGCGTTTAATATAAATATTTATAAGTTTTGTTTCACTAATGATAAAAATAATTTAAAAAATAATAACTTTCTATTAACAAAGTCCAACTAATTTTTATGGTTTATAAGTTTGATTTGATCAATGACTAAAATAATTTAAAAGATCATAACTTTTTAAATCGTAAAAGGATATTGACGTAATTTCATATGAAAGTTTAATTTTAAAAAAGTCTATTGACTATCATTATTATATTTTACAAGATCAAATTATAATTATTTTTATTTTATAGAGCTTTATTTATCATTCTTTGACATTGTTTTAATCATAAATGATATCAATAATCCATACACAAGAATACATGTGAGAATAACGCTATAACAGTGCCTAGCCATGGGGTAATACCAGCACTTGAATGAGACCTTTTATTTAGCCTTTGCACTCGAACACGATGAAAAAGACATATTTAAAACCTCAGAATTTATAAAATTAATGAATATTAGCTTTAAAATCGTTTTTGCTCAAACAGTTGTAAGAATAAGTGGACAGTTGATTTCACGTTAAAAATTAACAAAACTAGAAAAATTGATATGATCTCTTTACATAAAAAGAAAAATTAGTATAGCCTCTAATTAGAATTTACCCACAACATTAAAAAGAACTTGTAATTTTAAAAAAAAAACTATGCACAAGGGTTTAAGAGGATTTTTTTTTAAATGTCATTATATGCTTTATAATTTTTTAATAGTTTCACCTAGGATTTTTAATTGCCAATTTTATATTTTTTAATTACTTAAAGCCATATCATTATACTTTACTCCTACGTGCAAAAAGATACTTATAACTCGTGAGAGACTCCAACACTCTAAAAAATCATTTTTTAATTGCATGGTTTTAACTATGATCCTATACATTATAAAAAGAAAACGATAGATACTGATAACTTAAAATTACAAATAAGATTGAACCAAAAACAAGTGCTAATAACTTAAGATTATAAGTGTAATTGAACCCATGATCTCTCATTCATGGGAAATGTTACATGCTATAAACTTATAGGGTCATAAAAAAACTAAAAAGAAAGAAAAGAAAACACGATACAAAAGTTGTTCGGAATGCTTCAATTTTCATGTCCAGCAAAAAGACTCTTTCAAGTTTTTTTTTTTTGGGAGGAGGAACACTTTATTTTTTATCCCCAGAAAATAAAAAGGACATAGTGAACATGGTCCATACGAGAAATTACGGCATCAACTTTTATATTATTTTTTTTTCTTTTTAACCTTTTCTTTGATCTTCAAATTATAAACGAGATAATGAAATTGCTTCGAGATATGAAGGCGGCAATAATCAAATTTCAAAGTTCCACTCATTACATTACCGTTCACATCATAATAATACTGCCTACCAATTCAAGTTAATTGGGTCTAAACTTTAATTATGGTACATTGATTTACACTATACTTCATTTTTCCTTCTTTTCATCCTATTTTTTTAATCATGCCAACATTGTTTGAATCTTAAGCAATATTCATATTTTATTTCATTCTCACTGTTAAGTATCCCAGATGATCTTTTCCCACCCTTTTAAGCTAACTATGTTAACCTTAATTTTTTTATGGTAGAAAAAGTATATTTTTGGTATTTATAATTTTATTTGATGTATGAATAAATATTTCAAAATTAATTAATTCAATATTATTTGTATCTTGCACGCAGAGGTTGTTGCCCGATGATCTGAATTTTGATTATTAGTGGATTAAGTAGTGTGTTTAATCAAGTTTCTATTAATTTTTGTTGCCCAGGAATAGAGAACCTGATGGATTTGTATTAATATTTGTAATATGGCTGACTTACCGATTTATCAATCAGGAGCATAATAATATTAGTTAGTGCTCTCTCTCTCTCTCTGTCTCTTTTTACATATCTTAGTTGGTTGCTAATTAAAAAAAAAATTATACGTGTATCAATTTACACTTACTATAATTACATAATACCAAGTCATATATCTCTATTATAAAAGTTGGTAATGTAAGTCAAAATCATGACAAGGCCACATAAAATTACATATACACCCCGCTCGTGCACGCCAATATATTAATTTTATTAAAATGATCGACAGTTAAGCTATTAAATAACAAGATTTCCTTAACACTATACGGTTTATTTCCTTAATTAATTACATGTATGTATATTATGATTCTACCTACTAAATAATTTATTTTTCATAAAAAAGGACGTCTACATCTCTTGTTGAATTATTGTGTGATGTATAATTTTTTTTGGAAAAATGTATAATGTATAAGTGATATTGAATATTGATACTACTCCCACATAAATAATTAAAAGAAACGGTATTTTTTAACAATTACAAATAACCAGTTTATGATATCTTTTTAACATGCCTAAATTAGTTAATAACTTCCCACAGACAAGTGAGTATATAATAATAACGAACACATTAATAGGATGCACAATGTTTGGTCGTGACGGGTGGTGACTGGTGACCTCTCCGATGCGGGAGCATGAGTGAATGAAATTGCAAAAACGTCAAACACGCAAAATGGCGACACCTCAAACTTTTTCCTCTGCCTGTCATGGGCCCACCAATCCATCCTTCCCCAACTGTCACGAATTCTTCTTCTTCTTCCACTGTCACCCACTGCGACATTCTAATGCCCGCCCCTCTCTCGTCCTCGTCATACTTTTTTTTTTTTGCTTTGGTTTATGAGTCTTCAATGGCTGCCCGTATCAAAATCTTGCGTAAAGAAATCAGGGGTCGGTGCTAGATGAGGATTTCCGTTTCTTTTTGGCTGTCAAAAGATGCCCAAAAGCTAAAGTCTCTGTCTTTTTCTTTTAGCGGATAAATTTAGTTGGTGGTACTGAATTCGCTGTTCTGAAAGAATGTATCGTCATGAAGGTACTTCTCAAGGCATATTTCTTCCTGGGTCTTAAAGTTTCAAGCGGGAGAGAGAGAGAGAGAGCGCTAATGTTTAGAATTGAATGATGCTTTCTTTTGGCTTTATATGTTAGAATTTCTGAGGCGATGATGCAATTTTTGGCTGCTCTATCCTCTGTTTCTACAGTAGTTGAATGCGCCATACATCGGAGTCATGGAGAAGGTTGCACAGAAGAAATTCTGCTTTGGATTGCTGATTTTGGGAATTGTGCTCGATAGGAGCTTTTGATGTAATCATCGAACCTTTTTGTTATGTTTGATCAGAATCCTTGACTCCTGATCATTTTTTACGAACAATTGAGCTTTGAAGACGATGCTTGGATACTGACTGGCCTTTTCTTCAGAAGGAACAGCGTTAATTACTGACAGTTTCAAATCCAAAGGAAGCTACAACAAGGTGATCTGTTAGTAGATTCGTCAGGCTGCGTCTTTTACTTATTTACTATTTTGACTCAAAAGGTCCCTGAAATCAATATCTTTGTTCCCCATCAGCTGGGTGATCAAGTTTCAAAGTCATCAATTGATGGATGTTTTGATAAAATCAACTGATGAAATAATTTTTTATGTACTGAACTTATTTTGTAAGCATCCATATGAAAGTGTTCTTCTTTCTTTCTTTCTTTCTGGTTAATATGACACTGTTCTTCATGATTTTGTTAATCAAACAGGTTTTGCAAGAGCAGGGTCTGAGGGATAAAGAAGGAAGTCAAGTGTTCAGAAACATAATGGGAAAGAGGTCACAAAAACGTCCTAAGGGGAATGAGAAGGATCGTTCTGGATGCATGTGGGGCTTAATTAGTATATTTGATTTCCGCCATGGTCACCCAACTCACAAGCTGATTACAGATTTTCGGCACAGCAACAAGCTTGCTGTTAGTGAGAAAAGTGAGAACTATGCTTAATATTTATATGTGTGTTCCAAAACTGACAGATGTTCTTAATTACGTGGGAGTTATATGTCTGCTAAATTTGTAACAAACTAGACTTGTACGTATAAGATAGCAAATAATTTGGACTGAATAAACAGTTTGCTGGACCTTGCTGTATATTTTTTACTATTTTTCTAGAGTCACATTCACCTTTAGAAACAATTTTTCTGGTTTCTGATGTCTATAAGTAAGCCAATTTAGCAGATTTTTTTTAAAGTGACCTCCTTTATAAAAGAAATATTCTTTCCTTTTGAAGCATGGTTGGTGATGTATTTGTGGTTTGTCCTCTTTGAACTGATGAAAAGGACTTGAAATTATTATTGAACCTCATTATTTCTTTGCTACACAGGTATCATGTACTCAAAGAATAAGTTTGAGATGTTGAGCAATTTGGATGAAGATTGTGAAGGCAATTTTGTAAGTCCTTGTTAGTATTTTTTGGGTGAAAACTTTATGCCTTTATATCCACATGCTTATGTTAATCCAAAACTTACTGGGAATTGAAAATTTTCTTGGACGCCATGTTCATTGACATTGCTAAATCAATAATCTATCAGGACGGTACACAGAGCAAGAAAACAATGGTTACAACTGATGCTGTCAAGCCTTGCGTCAAGAAACTCATAGAAGAAGAGATGTTCATCGACCAAGATACAATGAAGAATATGCATAGTGCTGAAGTAGAATTTAAAGAATCCAGATTGAGGCTCGCAAACCCTCTGAAGATAGATTCCAAGAGAAAAAATAAGTCTCGTAAGAAAAGTCGGGACAAGGACACTCAGAGTTTAAAGTCTGATGCAACTTTACAATCAGAACTCTCACATAATCAGCATTCAAGGCATCAGTCCAAAAGTAGTCTTGATTTGGACAATATAATGGAAGGTTTTTCTCATTTCAAAGATGTTTGTTCTGTGATTCGTGACCATAATGGTGAAGTTCTTCCGCAGCCAAATGAGAAGAATGTAATAGCTGAAAACAATGTAAAAGATGCAATCCATGAATTTGTTAATCAGATCACATTCAATGGAAAAGATCTGCCAGAAGATGAAAAATTCACCTGCTCCCAGGAACTCATGCAAGTGCTTCAGGTTATAAGTTCAGATAAGGAATTGTTTCTTAGACTTCTACAAGATCCAAATTCGCTTTTAAGGAAACATGTTCAAGAGTTGGGGAATTCTCAGGGGACAGATTTCAAAGAACACAACCCAGTTACTGGCTTCAGCATGTCCAAACAAGAACCTAATAATCTGGAAGAAGCCACAGAGGTTGTCAACCACAAGCAGCGTAACTTTCTTGGGAAAAAGGTGACGTCTCAAGGAAAAAGTCCAGCGAAAGGAAATGACAACACTGAGTCTTCCAAGAGAATTGTTACTTTCAAACCCGGCCCCATGGGCTTGCGAAATTCTGAAACTGAGAACAATCTTTTTTCGTCCATAAATTCTCATGATATAAATCATCCCAAAGATCACCATGGTAGAGTCAGTTCACATTTTTCTCTCACAGAGATCAAGAAGAAATTGAAACATGCTATGGGAAAGGAGAGGCATGGAAACCCCAGAGGGATCTCCAAAAAACTCTCTATTGAGTGTCAAAATATGGAACAAGGCAGCAAGGTCTTTAGCAAAGACAATATTGGAATGAAATCTCCCAATAAGGACCATTTCTTCATCGAGAAAACAGCAAGACCCACATTTGATGTTAACAAAGGAGACAAGGCTGGTAAGTTGAGAGACTCCGAGGTAACCACGGATCGAAAAAATGACAGGTGTCTCAAACAAAAGGATTCCAACTTATACAATGAGGCCAAGAAACATCTGCATGAGATTCTGGGTAATGGAGATGAAAACATGGAATTTTCAAGTCAGCAGATCCCAGAAACCCTTGGGAGAATTCTATCTCTTCCTGAATATAACTTTTCTCCCATCGGAAGTCCTGGAAGGGAGTGTGAGCATCGCTTTGTGACTTCACAGACAAGATTTTCTACTGTGGGAAACATTCAGGAGGCTAATGAGGATTTTCAAGCCGATATTATTGGTCATCCAGATCAGGCAACAAAAAATCCAGAGAAGCAGTCAAGTATCAGTGATGAAAGTTTTAATGAAAAAGTACAAGAAATTAACCTGAAGCTAAATCTCCCAGCTGATCATACTCACGATGATAAAGTGGAAGCAACCTCTTGCCATCCTGTTAGGAATGAGATAGTCCCTGAAGGTATGATTTTCAAAGTACATAAATTTAAGTGATGGATGCTATGAAAAACTTCATTTTCTGAAATGTTTTATTATGTATTCCTTCATATGTTGGATCTATTAGAGGGGTTAATGATTTGAATTTTCCCTCCAAATCTGTAGATTTAATAGCAAGAAAGGATAAAAAATGTGACTCTGGAATTTCTGATGGTTCAAGACCTTCTCTCTGTTTGAATCAGGTAATGTCTTCACGTTTCTTTGCATATTGAAACAAACTTTTATACCTTTTTTTCCCCCTATTATGCTAGTTACAAAAGTGTGTTAGGGTTATTTAATGTATGTGCGAGAAGTGTAGTAAAAATAACTGATGACAGGCTTCCTAGGTTTCTTTGATGCCTAGCTGTCATTTCATGTCTTTTCCTTTGACTGAATAATTCCATTGCTGTACGATGTCATTTTAACTGTCTCACTATCTTTTTTCCCCCTCCATAGGAAATCTCAGAAGAAAATCAACCTCTATTTACTTCTCCGTCATCATCTCCTTCTCACCCTTCAATCACTAGGAAAGTTGCAGAGATGGAAAGTGGTTCAGCTGAATCTGAGAGACCAAGCCCTGTGTCCGTTCTTGATACACCATTTGATATCAGCCCTGGAAACACCAGATCCGAACCGGGTATGCATTTTATACAATTGAGCCACGAGGGACCTCTTTGACAATTTTTTTGAAACCATTCTTTAGCAAAAAAGAGAAACACTACTTTTTTCAACCATGTAAAAGTTTGGAAATATGTTATTTATAGGGAACTCTATATTATAATATCATATTTCATACAATAATTCTTCTAAAATATAGTTTAGAAATTTGTTTGAATGCATGAAATCTTTTTCCTGCAGACAAACAAAACTTGCACTTGCTTTAAGAAAATGGCCAATCAGCATATAAATTTCTCGGTTGCATATCTTCATTGTTATATTAAAATTAATTTAAACCTTAGATTCCCTATTGATTATCAGATAAAGTACCAGTGCAGCCCTTGCATATTCAGTTTGAAGATCATGATTCTTCACCTATGGATCAAACTGAAGGAGGAAAACATTGTACTGAAGAAAATAAGTTGATATTTGACTACATTGAAGCAGTCCTGCAATCCTCTGGCTTAAATAGAGATCAACTTAGAATCAAGTACCTTTCCTCAAACCAAATACTAGATCAATCTCTATTTGATGAGGGAGGGTTTTTCCCAAACCAACCTTGCCATGATCAGAAGCTCCTATTTGACTGCATCAATGAAGTTCTCGTGGATATTTGTTGGGATTACTTCGGGATACTCCCTTGGGCATCATTCCTAAAGCCTAGCATAAGGCCAAACCCAGATATGAAGAAGGTGGTTCTAATGGTCTGGCAAAGAGTGTGCTGGCATCTCCTTCCCTTTCCTCGGCCACATACTTTGGATCAAATTGTTCATAAAGACATGGCAAAAAGTGAAACATGGATGGATCTTCGAGTTAATGTTGAAACAGTTATTACTGAAATGGCTGATGATATTCTTGCGGAACTAATGGAAGAGACAGTATTCAATTGTGTCGGTGAAAGCCTAGAGAGTGAATCTTCTCAACTTCAACCTGAATTGCTGGAGGATAAAAGCAGCATCAACATATAAAAACTTTTCAACTTCTTGTTCATTCCAACAGATAAGTTCCCTGTTGAAGATAGAAGGGAAGAAGTTATACATTATGCTTCATGGAATTGGCAATAGACAGGAATACTAGAATTTTGGGGGTTCCTAAGCAGTGTTTCTCTTGGCCATTTCTGACTTCTCTCATAGTGGTTAGAATAAAGCGCAGGTGGACATTCAAAGAAGGGACTTAATCAGAAGGAGCAAAGAGTTTTAGTTAGAAATGCCAGCAAAAAGTACAAAATAATACTTCATACTTTTGTTCATTGTATTTCACTTAATCCAGAATGAGTCAGCGATGCTGTTATTGTATATTTTGTAGAGTTTTATATGTTGATAACATGAGTTTGAGTTTCATAAATTTGGTTGGAATCTTCTTTGCAATCATTTTTCACCCAACATGATTGGAAATAATGAATAGCAAGTCCAGCTTGGCCATTCAGGTCAAGAAAGTTCCAGCCCGGCCTGGTTTCAGCTGGAATTTGTGTGTACTGTTGCCACAAGAAAGATGGACTTTTTTAGCCCGGAAATAGTGAGTGTAAAACAATAACCCTGTGGGAAATCTAAATCACAACTAAGTTCTATTTATTAAGATTGTGCAAAATGCTTTGGATTTGAGCAGAACCGTCCACACACACACACACTCTCTCTCTCTCTCTCTCTCAAGCTTAAGACTATTCATCATATGTGCATCTTGCATAGAAGAGGAGGGGCGCCATGCATCTTCAGTGCATACAAGAAACCGGCTATTACTATCCTCCACCAGAGGCATCAAATGATATTATGAATTCTCTGCCAAAATTAACAATTCAGAACATTATAAAGCAGGCGCGCTCGCACATACTCAGGCACTAAAAAATGTGTGCAGATGTATACTCTTGTTTTTTTTTTGGAGCCAGAATGTGTAGATGTACATTCAACTTGAGGAATTGCAACAACATATAGACGAACATAATGTATGCATCAGTTAAATCAACACAAAATTGTAATCAGCTATTAATCTCATTAACTACATAACTAAATTACATAAAATATCGTTACCCAAAAAAAATACCTACGGACTTACGCAACGTAAGGTGTGAGGTGGAAGCCATCAAGCCAAATGTAGTTAATAAGTTATCCAGCCATCACAGTTAGTATGGAACAACTACGAAAATGTTACGTTACTTCCTCTTCTTATTTCCTAGTATCGTTGAGGGCAAAGGTCGTGGTGCTGCCTTTTTAATAAACGAGCTAGTTCTGCTATCTTCGCCAGCATCGTCTTCATCATCTTCAACACCATCTCTTTGAGATGATCTAGACTCCTCTTCCATTTGAGCAGCTTTTCTTTTTCTAGCATCCAACTTGGCATATAATTTCCGCTCTACAGGGTCATCTGATGGCCCCACTTTTGATTGGCGAAAAACTTTTGCACCAAGGCCAAGCCTGTACAATTGTATTACGATAATTATAATGATGGAAAATATTTACCATAACAAACTTGCCAAAGTTGACATGATGAACAATTTAATGGTGGAGGTCATATTGAGCACAGACCTAGGAGGTCGACCCTCTTTGTCAGCATCTGTTGGTTCATCATCTTCAACTTTGCTCATGTTATTTATCCATACTTCAGCCTGCCAATTAGAATGCTTCACAAGTAACTACCAGCAGTTTCATATAACATCTCAATGCCCCATGGTCAAATCCCAGCACCACAAATCACAACCTTCACAAAAAGGAACTTAGTAGGCAAAAAATGTTTGCCCTCAGTTTGTGACATTACTAAAATGCTAAATATTTAATGTATTTTTGCTTGATTTCTTTTTTCCCATACATTATAGGACTCCAAGTATTATATGCCAACATCATTACCAATTCCATGTTCATCATTCAGCAACTATTATTGGAAACCAGTGGGCATCATAAGCCTGTACCATCAAAAGCCTCAAGTCTTTGTAATGACTACAGAAAATCTTCAGTATATGATAGCAAGCAGCGTATGTTCATATTCATGGTCAATATGTCACAGTTAAGATTTTGATGCTGAGCTGCAAAATATGATTAGTGAAATTAAAAAGAAATAAATATGTGGCCAATTGGCCATGTTACCAAATTAACTTTTGAGGGGCAGAAATATGTGGTTCTCGACATGCCAAGTTATAGTTAAAACCAACATGCAATATAAATATGGGAAACACATCACTCGACAAGCATACAACACAATTATACTCAAGTCCCTGTAGTTTAGGAGGATCTTAAGGTGGAACAGAGGGAGGAAAAAACAAGGAATTACCAGTTTCAATGCCTTGTCCAACTTAACAATTTGGGGAAGAGAACCCTTCTTCAAAGGCTCTGTAACACTCATCTCAACTTCTTTGGACTGTAATCAACAAAAGTCGCTAGCAATCAAAATGAAGAGGGGAGAAGTATATTAGCCAATTACACACCATTCAAGCAAGAACTAGAACCCAAAAAAAAAAAAATCAATATGCAAAAATGCCCAATTCTTCTAGCCAAAAAACTCCTAAATTCAAAAGCGTAAATATTCAAATAATTACACAACCAGATTCAAAGCCAAATTAAAATGAAAAGTTTAAAACAATGCAAGAACAGCCACATGGGGAACAAATTCAAAAATAGATTCAAAGCCAGAATGAACAAATCAATCTCACCAGATTTTGGAAATAGAAAAAGCCTAGGGTTTGAACCTTCTTCACCGCTTGCCCAACAACAACCACGCAGGGCAGACAACGATGGACTGCGTCTGAGGGAGTGTGGAATGCTAATTCATTGACGAAGAGAGAAGGATCCACCACTCATGTAATGAAAATGTGTCTTATCTAAGGTTTTAAAAATTGGACTGGTTATCAAACCGATCGAGGTAACAATTCATGGTTCAATGGTCGGACCGGTCAACATTTAAAAATCATTAATTAAATTCCTATATAAGCATAAAAATATCATTTCAAATGAAAAAAAAAAAAGATCACAAATATTAATATTAGCATTGGGACTAGAGGAGGTATTTGAAATGAGTGTGGGAGTGGCCGTAGGTGTAGGAGTGTCATTATTTCCAGAGCCACCATCATCTTAAATTAAAAATTTAAATTTAAACAAATAGAAATTGAAATGATAAAATCACTATATCTAAATAAGCAGACTCATAGTAAGTAAGGAAACTAAATTGTAGCTATATATAGGTAGATGGAGCCGTATGAAGAAACATATATAAATAAATTGTAACTATATATAAATAAATTAAATTGTAACCAATAATTGATCTTGAAAACTTTCACCTGGTAAAAGCTTGGAACGATCAAGTAGTACTCATGATATATAAAAATACAAATATAAAAGTTGAAGCAAAAACTGAACTGAGTAAAGAGATCAATTAAACATTGACAGATAATATACATGGCATAAATTTATATTTTCAACTTACAGTAAAAGAGATGCGAATCTTTGCAATTTGAAGGTCTATAAATTGAAAGGAAAACAGGAAAACAACATCAACAAGAGAAGAAGGAGTCCAACTCTGAGAAAATGAAAGCAGAGGGGCGGGGCCGTGACAAATTGAAAGAGCAAAATTTTTTTTAATTTTCTTCTCGAAGAAATATCAGAAAAATAGCCAAATAAAGTGCTGAAATGAGGAAATACAAGCAACACAAAGGAGAGCGCAAAAACGATGTTGAGAAATTAAGAAAGAGCGGGTACCACTTCTCGCCCTCGGAGTTCGACGCAGGTGCCGAGCCAAGCAGCCGACTTCAACAGTTCAACCTGGAGAGTGGAAAGCAGTCGCGAACGTGGCTGACGGGGGGGCGAGCTCGGGCCTCAGAGATGCGTTCAGTCGACTGAAGAAGGAAGAAGAGAATCAGAGCGAGAGGCGTTTGGCAGGGGAGAGGGAGAGGGAGAGGGACGAGTGATTGAGTGATGGAGTTGATCGGCAGGGGAGACGGAGACCGTTCGCGTTCGACTGCTAGTGCTAGCGGCCCTAGGGCAACTGGCAACGTTTAGAATTTTAGGATTATAAAAATTTAATAAAAAAAGATCAAAACGATGTCGTTTTGACGTCGGAAACTCGAAAAACAAGCAATAAAATTTCGAACAGGCCAAACCGTCGCGCTCATCACTTTTTTCAATTTTTTGACCGATTCACCAAGTAGGAAAGCAATGGAGGTTCGAGTTAAGTGGGTTAGCTGGTCGCCAAGTCGATTAGGGGAGGAGAGCACCCTGTTACTGATCCGTTGTTGAGACCGAGAGGGGGAGGAGAGCCGAGAAGCGAGAGCAGTCCGTGACCATAAGGCAGGAGTCAAGTAAGAAGAATGAGAGTGAAGTGAGAGTTAAGGTCAGGATGGGGTTTTCTTCATAGGGTGAGAAAGACAAGAAGTGGTGCGTTTTGTAAGAAATTATTAAAAAATAAATAAAGAATAAGCTTGGTGGTTCACTTGAGCCCGTATTTTTAAAGTTTACTAATGTCAAACTCCAAAGCCCAATTAATCTAAAAATTCTAATTTTTTAAGCTTAATCTCTTATCAAAATATGTTTAAACAAGCAATCCTCTAAACTCGATCCTTACTTTAAACTCTACATATTTTGTTACTAGTTATTTTTTTTCAATGTTCCAAGTTTCTCTAATTTTTCCTCACAACATTAGTTTGTCTACTTTTAAATAGAGCTAGTAATTTGGGCTAAATCTAAAAAGACAGCCTAAATTCATCTGAAAAATTTAGGATCAAGCTAAAAAATAATATTAATTTTTTAATGTTTGGCTCTATTTGGACGGCTTGAATAGACTTGAGAAAATTGAGGTCAAACTTAATTGGGTTTGGACTTAGCCTGAATATTCAAATAAAAAATATATCATTTAAAAAAAATATATGTATATAATATAATAAATATTAATTAATTCTTTAAGTTTTATATCATTTTATACTAAAATATTATACTACTTTCATTCAAAAATATAAGGCATTTTTTAAAAAGTTAAATGTTAAAAAAATATAAAGTATTTTTAGTCTTCTAAGGTGTAATCATTGCTTTTTTTTTTAAAACTGTCCTTATTGATAATGACTTTATATTTATTGTAAAATATTTAATAGGAATAAATATAAAAAGATATGGTTAATTTAAAAGTAGATAACTATTTTATTGGGTTGTGAGATTTGATTTAAAAAACTTTATATTTTTTAACGGAGGGAGTGTATTTGAGTGCATCACTATAGTTATTTTTTAACAAATTAAAAATATTTATATTTTCATATTTTTATTATTTTTAATTAATATTAATTTTTATATTTTAAGATTTAAGTTTTTTTTAAAAAAATTTGAATCATATACATCATTTGAGTTTTCAAAAAAATGTATTATATATCTTTTATAAAGTAAGATAATTAATTTTAAAGTATAAATAATTTTAAAAATAAAACCTAGACATGTATGAATTATTTGACTCTATTACTAGATAAACATAATAAATAAATTATTTATTGTTGAATGTATGAATTCTTGAATAATTATTTGGTTATTATTCATTTGGTTAAAAATTAAGAATAAATTAAAGTAAAAATTCTTGATATGTGAGGGTTAAAAAATATAAAAAGTTAAAAAAATAATTTCAAAAAATAGTATTTTAACTCATAATTAAATAATTTTGTTTTATATGATAAAATGATGGTTATTTTTCTTATATTCTTAACAATAAAAAGTACAATTTACCTAAAAATTATTAAAAACTTTGAACTAATGAAAAAATAATTTTAAGTCAGCAATATAACCATAATTGAATTGAGATCAACTTGATTATAATTAAAATAATATAATTTAATTAAAATATACAAAATATTTATATACGACCACGATAAGAGCAATATTTAAACAACTAAAACATTAATTTATAAGTAAAGAAAATATTCATAAATAAATTATATATAATATAACAAAATAGTAACATAATTACTTAAGTACAAAGTTGATAATTTATTATTTTTATTTTATTATTTTAAAGTTAAAATAATATTTATGCCTATCAGAATTATTTAAAAATTAAAATTAATTTAAAAATTAAAAAGTTTTGGATATTTGAGCTGGCCTGAATAAGCTTAAAACTCAATGATGTTAAGGTTAAGCTTAGTTATATAGGCTATTTAAAAGGAGTAGGATATCTTAAGCCTGGTCTGAATTAAACTTAATTTGAATAAGCTCTGCCTGCTTAAATTATTGGCTCTACTTTTAAATGTTATAGTGAGGATGATGATGTATAACTAACAATGTTGAATTATATGTCATGTAAATAACAATATTAAATCTTATGTTGAATTTTTTTTTTATGAAAAAATCTTATATTGAATGTCAAAATAAAGATATGGTAGCTATCTAATAAAAAAATATAATAAGAAGGAAGGGTGCATGCTTAAAAGACAAAAATACCATAAGTAGATGCTATTTTGATTGGTTAAAAAAATTGATGAGGATATTTGATACATAATAAAAATAAAAAAATTGACCCATGATGACTGAAAATCACTTTTTGATGCTGACAAACACTGTCATCAACAAAATCTTTTTATCGAAGTGTGATTGTTGACTCATTTTAATTCATATTAGCATCTCCATTGTCATCATTAATTATATATCAATTAATTCTTCTTAAGTCTTTTGAGACTTTACTAACATTAATTTTTTGTGAAATAACTATAATATCCTAATTTAAAACAAAAAAGAAATGGATTGGTGAGTAAAAAATATGCAAAGCGAATCTTGTCCTTTAATATCCCCTTTTAGTTATTGTCAGAAAAAAATAGTTAATACTTAAATTAAAGTTGTCTCACTTAAACTTCAATAATTACAAAAAATATTAAATAATATATTTTAATAATAATTTATTATTTTTCATAATGACTAATTTTATATCTATACTAAACATATGCATAATTTATTTTATTCTATAATTTATTTTCTTAAACATATTTAAAATATAAGCAATATTAATAGTAAACTTACATATATTAATTTTAGATGTAAAAGTAAGTAAATATTAAAAGTGAAGTACAACGACCTCCTTCCCGTTCTGTTAAAATTATAGAGATATTTTTATTTTTAAAATCCATATTTTAGTTCAAATTTTAACACTGTTAGGAGTATTTCATTAAAAATTCTAAAATATTTAATTTTTATTTATAATCATGTTAAAAATTTTAAAATTATCAATATATTTTTATGATCTAATTATCTACTCTCTCTCAATTCAAAAAAATTTAAATAATTAAGTATGTGAATCTTTGATTAAATAATTTAAAAGTTTGATGCTGAAATAAATGAGATTTAAAGAGAAATAAATATAAATTAGATTGGGTGATTTATTATATGAAAACTTATTTCAGTAAATTATTTTAACTCTGAGTTTGAATACTATTTTAGACGACTGATGTGTTTAAATCTTTAAAAAGTTACCATACAGATACGTTTACATAAGAAGAAATTAACTTCATGGCCTCAAAAAATACAACCTTTATAAATTATGGATGAAATTCTTGAATATTTTAAAATATAGTCCATTTATAAAATTAATTAGATGTATTTTACTTTTTTTATCCTTAAATTAAATTTATTATTAAAACACAATATATTTATTGTAATTAATCCTTAACTGAATGAATCATTCCTTTTTTTTTCTCTAAATATAAAATTGCTAGTGTTTTTCTTCATCACAAAACTTTTCTTCTCTCTCTCTTTGTGTTTTTTCCAAGAATACTATGAAGAGGACATTAAACATTAAAGAGAAATTTTTATTTTTGGAAGCAGAAGACTAGACTGAAATCTATTATCTGTTATTAAATTTTTACCATCTTTATATCTTTCGGTAGCATTGAATTTTTTGCGAACTGTGTTTGATTCATTTTAAGCAAATAATTATGCATCTTTCCTGTTACTAATCTGCGATATTACATTATTGATATATGTATGTATATCAATGATAAACAGGTTTATGTTTGATTGTCTAATTATGTTGATCTGTAATAGTATATCAGTGATATACAACAGTATATCAATGATATAATATCACGAATCAGTAACACGAAAAACACATAATCATTTTCCTAGAATGGATTATATACAGTCCATAAAAATCTTTAAACTTTTAGTTTATCACAAAGAGTCAAATACTTAAACTAATAAAATAAAAAATCATGAATCTATATCTCCATTTCCCCGCCGACGTGCTCCATTCCATCAAGCACTATTGATGCATCTTACCTTATGTTTGTTTCTCATGGTTGTGACTATAGCTAGCTCACATTGCTCTACGGTCTCGAGTTCATCTCTCTCATGTCTAGTTTCATCTTCTCTCTCCCATTCATCTTTTTTAGTTTAGAGATTTCTTGCATTTTGAATATTTGATACTTGCAAAAAGCATATATTAAAAGGGCATTTTTATAAATTAATTATAAACTAAATATTAAAAAGGTTATTTTTAAAATTTAAGAAAGGATGAGCTATTTCTTTTACTTGGTTTTATGATATAGGTTACTTGTGCAAAAGTCCCTTTACATAACTAAAAAATAAGTATAAATAAAAATTAATTTTTTGGGTAATTTGAATAGATTTTAGACAACATTTATATTTAAAGAGAGGTATTTTTCTTCAATATATATAACTTAACTATCAACCAATGGTTGGGTGAATGAAATGAAATTTTAAAAATAAAAGTGATATTTATATTTTGTAACTATTCATATTAAAAAAAGTTTGTATAAGTTTCAAAAATAAAAGATATGTATTTGTAATTAAGATAAAATAAAAGGGAGGTTAAAATATTTTTCTCTAATACTAACAATAAAATTTTTTATTGCGGCTTTGACAACGCTTACAAATAGCACATGCCATATATAAAAATTTAAAATAAAGAACGCACAGAAAAAATGCATTTATCCGGATTTAATTTGAATAATTTAAATATATAAGCTCCAACTGTTTTAGGACATATTTGTTTTAGCTTATTTTATTAAAAAATATTTATTTTTTAAATGTATTTTGTGAGTTTTTATCATGTTTGCTTGAATTTTTGAAAATAATTAGAATACAAAAAATAAATTTTTGATTATTTTAGTAAGTTACTTGAAAAGCTTCTAAAAATAATCTAATACTGTAAATAAGATAGAGTATTTTAAAGAAGTGAAATATGTAAAAATATCATAAAATTTTAAAATAATAAATTATTTTTATAAAATAGAAATCAAGAAAGATATCATAAAATTTAAAAATAATTAATAAATAATTAATTTTTATTATTGTAACCAAATATAAGATAATATGAACTTTTTATAAAATAAATATTTTTTTATAAAATCTCTCGACTATCTCCTTGGCCAGAATTAAAGTTTTTAGATTATTCAAAAATTACTTTTTTTTTAATCTTAAACAAATATCCTTGTTCTTATCAAATAATATATTATTTTTTTAGAGATCGAATTAGTGTGCTATTTCATTAATTAAACATACTTTCAAGCATTTTGCTACACGAGATTTAAATTTTTGAAAAAAGGTTATCTTTCCAAAACTCACACTCAGTGAAGTGCATTTGAAGCCATGCCCATGTATAACCATTTATTTACATGAAAAAATTAGATTTTTTTCCATGCGTTGCACGTGTTAGAATGTTTAATTTGATAAGAGAAGAGAAGAGAAAAGAAAAATAATTCTCACTACATGATTAAATATAATGTAATTAATTTGATAATTTACACATGAAATATTCTATCAACTACATGCAAATACACAACTTTGGAGAAAATTAAACTTGAATGTTTCAGTTTCTCAAAAAGTACTACAATGAGAGACTATGATTGAAAAATCAATTATGAATTTAATAGTAGAATAGTAGAAAAATAGTTTTGCAGGTTCTAATGAGATAATCGGCAATTTAAATCTTCATAATTTAATCTTTCGTAACATTTGAAGTGACTAAGAATTAATTTTTATTGTCAAGCATTAAAATTGATATTAGGAAAATAGCTTTGCAAGTTCCAATAAGATAATTGAGAATTTGAATATTCAAAATTTAATTTTTTTAATATTTGAAATACTTGGAGTTGAATTCTTACTATCAAACATTGAAATTGGTATGAAGATACATCCAAATTCAAATTTTGAAATCATATAAGAAAAAATTGAGAAAAAATATATTATTAAAATATTTTTAAAATGAAAATAAAATTGAATTTGTCAACTATTCAAGACGTGCATATGAAATTTGTATATCAAGAGCAGTTTTTTAGTATGTTAATATAGTCTCTACTTTATTCTCTTCAAGTTGGGTAGAAAGAAAGTCAGAAATTAAAAGTGAACACATTAAAAAAGAATCATATGTTATTGCAATCAAGAGAAGACAATAAAACTCCAAATTTAAAAAAATAAAATGTCAAACATTTACGTTAAAGTAGGTGAAAAAAATATCTCATGTAAAATTATAATAAATAAAATGCCAAACATTTAAAATATCTCATGTATAAGCATACTTGATTATAGATTATAAAAGTAAAGACCACATAGATTTCAATTATTTTCAATGATAATGAACCATATATAATATTTGAATTTTTAACAATTTCAAACATTAATTAATGAAAGAGTGGTGGAATGATTAGATAATATTTTTTAGGTGTCTAGACTCAAACCCCCTCCATTGCACATATAATAACTAATTAAGATGAAATTAGCCTTTTCAATAAAAATTTTGAGAATGAATAATTTGTCATTAGCCATATGAAAATAATTATATATAATTTCCAAGAAATATACTAGTTCAAATAAATCATACACATCTGTAATTAAATCTAACATATGAGAGTTAATCCCTTGTGTTGCATGGTTTATGCTTGACCTAAGTAGCTGATGAATATGGAATATGAAAAAAAAAATTAAAAATAAAATTAATAGAAGGAATTTTAAAGAGTATAGGAACTTTCTTATTTTAAAGAAAATGTTGACTTGTGGAAAGTCTTTAGATACATAGATAAAATTTTGATTATGTTAAAATGTATAGTTATATTTGATTGAGGTAAAGAATTCAGTACTTGAATAAATGCAGGTAAAATTTTGATCTCATCTTTATATATAATGAATGGAAAACTTGTCAGAGACAAATAAATAGTGCAGCACTCTAAGCTATTGTCCGAGATGGAAATCACCAATTAGTAAATTAAGTTTTAAAAAAACCAAGAAAATTGATGTAAAATCTAATAAGCAATATTAAACTTTGAAACTTAAATCTAATACAAACATATCATCAGGTAATGGAAAATTTGAGTTCAACACAATAGAGAAGACAATTAGACAAACAATTGACTTCTAAAAGATAATCAGCATATGATCAATGAAGGATCATACATATTTCAGGAATAGCCAACAGAATATATATAGATGTTGCCCAGCAACTAAAACCTGTCTTGTATCATTTAGATCTCCCAACCAGATGATGCAGCTACTACCCCCTCTGCTGATATTTGAGTTAGTATGAGCAGTATAGGAACAGTTTTTCCAAGCATTTGCATTATTGTCATCTATAAAGAAGGCACATGGGTAATACTGATAAAAATAGGAATATATTGTTATAAACACATTTGTAGGGCAAAGCATAGTAAAAAAAAAAGTCCATATACAGGTGACGAAATAATTGATCATACTTGACAAAACACATCTTCAATTGTTTGAACATCCATGTATCCCATGTCAACATCAACTGTTAAGGTTTTGGACAAAATGCTTGATGTTGGTAACTTGGATCAAAATACTTGATGCTGCCTTTCTACCATTTTTAAAAACTGATCAATTGATAAGAAGTTTATGCTCATCAATGCAAGCATATTGGTTTCCATAGGTCTGTATAAAAACTCTAAAGGCAGCAACAGATACATGTCAAATGTCAAAGATTCAAGAATATTTTGTGCATAATAGCACTGACTAAGCATGAGCTGTGTAAAAGATTAACAAGAAGATTCTAAAATCAAAATAAAATAATAATAGAATAGTAGAACAAACCAAAACCTCCAGAGTCTTATAGCACTAGCAAAATTTTACCAACATACAATTTTAGAAATTTTAATTGCTAAAGAAGAGATGAGTTGCTCTTGAAAAGAATGTTTATTATATGTTGATCGAAAAGTTGTTTTCACCAAAAGACAGACTAAGTCTCTGCTCTTTACCTTTGGCAAGAGTGATTTAAGAAACTAAAATCACAAGTTTAGATGAAAGTTATGCAAGTAAAGAGATAGTAAATACTGACAGGAAAAAGTACAACATATAAAGCTCACTATTGGATAACGAGGTGGTTTAAATCAAACTTTGCAATGATTTTAATAGGTCATACTTTCTTCATGCACCTTCTCTACAAAAGACAAAAGACTCTCTTAATTAGCTAATACAAAATTATTATGCATATAGCTAATAATTGAAAAATTGTCATAGCAACTTCCTGCAAGATTCTAGCGAGCAAGAGCTTTAGTTGTAAAAGAAGACAATTGGAAAATTGTCATAGCAACTTCTTGCAAGATATTTTTGTGTTCAACATATTTTTGTGTTCAAGTTTGAGAAAAAATATATATACCTATAGACTGCTCAAGTAAGGGGCATCATCAGCATGAGTTATAATACATGAATCAAGAAGTGGAATAAACAAAAAATATGCTTCTTCACCATTTAAAGTTCTATGAGGACCGGCTAAGATACTCTCATAAAGTGCTACCTGTGGATAGCGAACGTCAAACTCAAATGATATATTGTAAAACATTATAATTATAAATTCACTAACTAAAATGCTTTAAATATGATCTAAATTTATAAATTACCTAGGCACCATACAATTGATCTATCCATATTGTAGCATTGGAATACTTAGAAATCCTAGTTACACATTCAAACTTAAAATGGCCCCTTTAATAGGCATATAAAGAAAATAAACAAACAAAAATTCTATAAGAATCTTGGTCTTGGGATGTTAAAAAAATGATGCTTAAAGAATCCTGACCTCAAGGAACAGGCTGTTGAACTTTAGAAGCCAATCATAAACATATATGAGAGACCTTTTCTTTTCCACCACATATTAAAGATGATTATCCTTCCTTTAAAATGAAGATTTTGAGAAATATCAACTCGAACATTGATTAACGTAAGTCAACTGTATAGGGCTCTTCACAAAAATCTCATCCTATCTTATGGAGAAAAGCCCGGACAATGATGAATCAGAAAATAAATCGAAGGAATAGATCCAGAGTCATCCCTATTCCCTGTAATAGAAAGAAACTAAAGAAGAAAGAGGGTGAAAGTAAAATGAGGAAATTGGGTGAGAGAAAAGTGCAACATCAGAAATATTTCAATGCAAAGGAAGGAATGGAAGAGTGAAAATGATGAGAAAGGCAAAGCAAGTAAATGGAACTGGAAATACACATACCCACAAAGATGCGAGTGAGAAGCTTGGAGAAATGCTGGATTGGAGAACCCACGATGTAGAACCACAAGTGAGAAGGGCCAAGATGTAACTCTGCGACATGTCGACATCGAGAATGCGAACGCTTAAAAACTAAATGGAGAAAACCACATTAGTTAATCCTTTGGTGAAAGTCACCATTTACCATTTGAATTTGAAAACAGATGGAAATGCACATATGAAATCACAATCAATTAAGAGCGAACGGAACGACCTCGAAGGTGTAAAACTGGAAGGGATAAAAAAATTATGTTAATGCTCCTGTGAGATTGAAGAATGTAGCGGGGAGGAAATGAAAATCAGGGAACTTGGAGAATTATAGGAAAGTGTAGCAGACAAGAGTGATAAATTGAAAAGGTGAGAAGGCAAATATAATTAATACTTCGTGAATTCAAATTTTACATTTGAATGGCAAAAGACTCGTTGCTTGGAAGAGGAAAATACTAGCTGCCTTGGAGTTTAATCCTCCCATGATGGTAAATTAATAATGAAATGGAAGAATAAAAAATTTAAAATAATTTTGACCAATCAGCAGCGTTCTATGGGATTTGTTAATATATATTGATAACAATTGAGGGTTGTTGGAAAAAATTTATATCAGCCAAGAATTAATAGATTTTAAAACTACACTACAGTCTTTTAATCCTTGACTTATATTATTTTTTATGTGAAGTGACTAAATTGTCTTTAAAGTTTAAAATAAAAAAAAGTTACCTCTACTATTATCGGTGCCAACTATTGCTAAAGCCCTTGATGATGACAAAGGTCTCTAAAACCCTTGCCACTGGTGGGTTCACTGGCAGCCAATCATCAAAGCTCTGGCGCCAGTGAAACTTTTAATGAAGGATGATAAATTAAGTTAGAATTAAGCTTTTCCCACACGTACAAAAATCAAGCTTTTATTTTATTGGCATCATTTTTGTAAATATCGTTAGATAAAGACTCTTTAGACCTCTTTTCTTTTAGTTGAGATTGAGAACTAAGGCGGGAAGATGGGAGAGATTGACACATTGTAAACCTCATAAGTATGAAAATAAACAATATTTGGTTAAAATTGATAGAAAAGTTTTAGATAATCTATTTTTTGTAGTAGAAACTATTCAGTACTTATCAAAAAATAGTTTGTAGTTAAATTTGCATATTTACATATGCTGACATAGATATCCGTGGAGTGTCACATGTTATTGTGGGCCCTATTTAACATCTGTAAGCTAAAATTAATAGCAAGCTATTAGATGCTTTATTTTTTAAAATTGAAAATTTATTTCGCACCATCTGATAGTTTAGATTACTAGATGTTCCTGAAAAAATATTTCATGGTCAAAAATTTGCTACTTTGGCCATTTTATTATTTTAAAAGTTGGGGATAATTTGATCATTTCACATAAAAATTTAATATCAGTCAAGGATTAGGAGACTGCGGTGCAATTTCAAAATCTATTAATTATTGACTGTTATAAATTTCTTCCTGTGTTACACATGCTTCACCATTTATTGGGTCGGTTCCTATCATCTATATACTCCGGGTGTCTGATAAAAGACTACGGTTTCAGCAAGTAAAGTGAAAACATGCTCTGATGATTTTGATTGAAATTGCATAACAAATCCTTGCAAGTAGGAATACGATGGAAGATTCTAAATCCCTCATTCACCATACCTATGCTGTGGATAACATGACGGTCTTCTATATCCATCACCGGACCACCCAACTCAACTGTTCACAAGAGAGTCAAGCTCAAATAAACAACGATCCATGAACACATGAAATATTGTTGAGGAGGTCAAAGAACCAATCTCACTCAGCAGACTTTATTGATTTCTCTAACAGCCGAACTTGCAGCATAAAGTGTTATCTTTTTAACCTGTAAACGAAGAAAAATGGGCAGGGTGCAATGCGATTCTCAAAGGCGCAAAATATTTTGACGGGTGACTTTTTCTTTGCAATGCAAGAGCTATAATATAACAAGCATCTTCGGTGAAAACGTGGCAATATGAGAACATGCAAAACCAAATCACTTAACAGCAGAAAGCTAAACCAATCAGACTCAACAAGCACTGCGAATAAACAAGCCGACCTCTAATTTATCCTCCTTGGCTGTGTTTTTTCTTTGGGAGCAAACGAAACTAGTCTGTAAGTCGTTTCGAGGAAACAAAATCAATTGCCACCTTTATACAAGACTGGTTAATGAAAAGAATGATGTTAAAAGCAATGTAATTACGAGAAAATAACATTTAAATGATGACAGATGAAAAAAAAAAATGCTATAAATTACTTCTTCTGATCTTTATTACAAGGACTTCTTGCATGTTTCTCAATATAACACGCTTTGTTTAAAGTATTGATTTTTTCCACCTAGCATCCCTAGCTAACTATAAAATTTCCAAACCAATTAAACAAATTCCTCTAACTAATTACTTTTATTGAGATTAATTCTGAAATTTTACAAGAAAAAACTAATTTTAACTAATTTCATTAATTTACATGAAGTTGTTAACAGGTGCTTATAAAAAGAGCTGGAGGGAGTATTCTAGTAGAAGTTGCCCTTGTTTGCAATTCACTTCAACAAAAGCAAATTATTCATTATTCCTATGAAGATATATCTACTGTTATTAGTCTTGTAGACTTTCTGTTAGGGGGATTTGATCACAAAAAGGATCAGAATCTCTTTTTTCTAATCTGCTTGATGAAGAAATAGAAGAATCAGAACACTTTGTTGCTCCACGTTAGTGAATACCAATTTTCTCTTGATTATTTTTTCAAATGCTGTTAATAAAAAAATTAAATTGCAGTAAATTTATTTTTTTATAATTAATTAATAAAAAGAAATCACCGGAAGTTATTTAACTTCCCACCCTCTCACATGCATCTCAACTTAGTAATTATACACTTATGATGTTTGAGACCAATGATCAAAACTAAGAAGGCCTGAAGCAGGTATACCAAGAAATCAATTTTTACCCACAAATGTGTGAGAAATGTAGAGTATAATGGCAAGAATTCCAAATTAACGGCTCGTCACTAGAAGCTCAAGTCTTTGTCTATTTCTCACTTGATAGGGACACCTAGCGAGAATGAGAACAGCCTCACCAAGATGTTGCTCAAAGGTCCAGGGTTCAACTATTATGGGGACAACTTTGGTAAAAAAAAAAAAAAAAAAAAACTATTATGGGACAACTATTATGAATGGGGTGTATAACTTGAAACCAGCATCATTTAACTCTTCATATATGGTTAATAAAGTGAAAACATAGAGGTAACACTACTCAGAGTTTATAGGATGATTGCCAATATGACATTATTCCTTCTTATGCTTCCTTAAATACTCCATTAGTTTTGGAGCATCTTGACGACGGAAGTTATCCCAGACAGCACCACCATGGTCAACTGCAGCTTCACGATTAGTTTCTACAGAACCTTTTACCAGACCTTGCTTTGATTTTTGGGACTCTAGATCATCAGACAAATTGTCAAGAAAGTCGGCCCTCGTTCTGTCATTAACATTACTCCTACAATTCGAGGTTAAGTTACATGCAGATTGAGTAAGTTCATGTTTGCGCCTGAATGTCTTGGCATGATCTGAAACTTCGGCAAATATAACACCATGTTCAGCAGAGCAGCTTCTTCTTTCCACTGCATATCTGCCAGAGGCAGAGCAGTTTCTGCTCTCACCAAATTGTTCTGTGGCTGTTGTTTCTAACTTCACGGGTGAGCCTTCTGGTGTTGAAGAAATTTCTAATTTCACAGTTGAGTCTTCCGGTGCTGATGAACTTGGTAACTTGACAGATGAATCTTGCGATGCTGACAAAATTTCTAGCTTCATAGTTGAGCCTTCCGATGCTGATGAAATATGTTCATCTATTTGGCTACTAGAAGGGGAAAAAAAAAAACTGTTAATTCCATTCTCAGTCCTTCCATCATTTGTTTTGGGTCTCCCATCAATATCACTATGCGCTTCACAGTAGGTTCCTGCATGTCAACTTCTGCATTTGTCCCCCGCAAATTGTTTGTGCTTTCTCGTTGCCAAGCACCTATATTCACCTAGGTAATGTGGGTCGGTACATTAACCTCCGTCACAAAATTATAATGCGATATCAGCTACAATTATATACAGATGACCGCAATGAGCAGAATGAAATAAAAATACAGATGACATGTTCTATGATGTAGTGCATCAAAGGGTTCTATATGTAGAAGATTTGGGAAGTGACAATAACTAGACAGCCTGCAAATTGGTCAACTAGTAAACCATTAACCATCTGTTGCATCAAATTGGAAAGGTGCATTTGAAGGTAGAAGTAGTCAACACTTCGACACAAGCGCACATGCACACGTTCAAAGAATGTAGGTGTGAGTGACAATTTCCATGCATTTTAATACAAGCATTGGAAGAAGGCCTTTTAGGTCCCCATGCTTTCATGTCTAAAATATAAACCGTGAAATCCAACATATATCACCAATCAGTAAGCCAGTTATCCTTCTGAATAGATAATTTAGGCTCCATAAATTGATTTATCATTCAGTAAGTTCATTTTCCAACTTTTCATTCAATTATTATTTACCCAACCATGAAGTTAAGAAGAAGATGCTCAGCCCCTATAAACTACTCTTCACTCAAAGGAATTTCTTCCTTTTCATTAACTTTCTCATCATCGAATGACAATATAATCTAACACCCATTTAAATTTTAGTTGGATATAATAGATTATGAAAATAATTGATTAAATGATAGATTTAAATCATAATTGATTATATTATAATGCAACATGTTTGAATATTGTTTTTTTGAAATTGATTTTAATAGAATTAAAGATGTTTGAATAATTTATTCAAATTAATTTTAACTGTATAAATTATCATAAAAAACATTGCCTTTCAAAATTAAATTATTGATAAATTTTTACCTAATGTTTAAAAAGTAAAATATACTATTTAAATTATATATCTGATTAATTATAAAAATTTAAATTATATTAATATTAACAATTTTAATTAAGTAAATAAATAACTCGACATATCTTAATTCAAATAAATTTATTAAAAGAGAAAGATTTTATTCTTAAATAACAAACATCAATTTTATAATAACTAATGAAGATGATAATGTACAAGTTAATCTCTAATGACATCATGAATATAAGCCATATCTGACAAAGATGTGAAACACTGCTTAAAAATTTTAACAAC